GGCTGATCCAGCATATGCTACACCAGATCAGACCAGTTTTAGTGTGTCAATGTAAATCTAACCTTGAATGACAACCTTTTGAGTAAGAACAAAAAAATTTAAATAGTACAGAAAAGGAAAAGACATTTCTTAAAATGTTTATGCAATTGGCAAACCCCATTTGTATCTTTGTGATATACAAACACTGTCACCTACTAACATATTTGGTTCATCTGGAAGAACCTCAAGTTTCTTTTTTTGTCTTCTATGGCTTGAATTGTCATGTTTAGTTAACCTTTATCCAGTACTCATCTGAGTCAATGCTCAGAGCACAAGGAGTTGCGATGATATATGTGGCCTAATGGAATGGTGAGGAGGGGTGGAATCACTGGTAAGATGGCAAATTGCTAACATGGGAGGACATGAATTTTAAAGGTTTAGCTCATGAGCATGCTATGGCCACTTCTATACTGTCCTATATTGTAGGATCTGATCACAGGTTATCTGCTTTAAACTGGATTATATGAGTCTCCACTACCAGATCATCTAGGATAAGAAGATAATCTGGGATCTGATCCTGGAATATAGGGCAGTGTGGAAGTTGCCTATATCTTGTGAACATTTATAACTGAAAGCAGTCTTTAAAAGACCCCAGAAGCATTACTTTGAACAGCAGAGTTTGCTAGCTCTGATTCATTATACCAAATATATACTTTTGTCTACTCTAAAATGCTTGAAGGAGTAAGAGTAAGAGTAAGAGAAAGGCTCGAAAGTGAGGCGAGGAATCAGTCTCACAGCAGATTTCCACGTGACTTTCCGAATTATCCACTGAGCAACTCATTTCAGTCAAAAGCAGATTTCAAGTTCTAATGAAATTGCTGACCTCATAGCACAGTAAGCAGCATTTGGCTGCAGATATCTATTTTATCAGCAAATGGACCAAGAATAATACAGAATCTTCCAAATGGAGACCCTCCTTACTGAAGTACAGAGTACAATAAGACTGCATTTGGTCTTCTCATTAGCAATCTAAAGATGGCAAATGAGCTTGGAGATACAACAGCCTCTCAAAAAACAAAAACAAAAAACAAAATATAGGACTTGCAGAAAATTGGTTCAAGCATCAGAATGCACACCTATGGTGAATGTTTGTTGTGTTTCTTTAAAGTAGTGATTTAATTAAGAGAAAACTACAATATTCAGTTCTGATGTTTAAAAAGTAATGCTATCTTATCTCAACTTTCAGTTCTACATTATAGTACCCTCCACTGCAAATCGGAGATCAGGAAAGCCAGGATTGTTTAGAGCAGTGGTTCTCAACCTGGGGGTCAGGATCCCTGGGGGGTTGCAAGGGGGGGGGGGTCAAAGGGATCACCAAAGCCCACCAGAAAACAGTATTTTCTGTTGGTCATAGGGGTTTTGTGTGTGAAGTTTGGCCCAATTCTATCATTTGTGGGATTCAGAATGCTCTTTGATTGTAGGTGAATTATAAATTCCAGCAACTAGAACTCCCAAATGTCAAGGTCTATTTTCCCCAAACTCCACCAGTGTTCACATTTGGCCATATTGAGCATTCGTGCCAAGTTTGGTCCAGATCCATCCTTGAGTACACAGTGTTCTCTGGGTGTAGGTGAACTACAACTCCAAAACTCAAGGCCAATGCCCAACAAACACTTCCAGTATTCTCTGTTGGCCATGGCAGTTGTGTGTGCCAAGTTTGGTTCAATTCCATCATTGGTGGAGTTCAGAATGCTTTTCTGAACTCCACCAAATCCCAGCAACTACGACTCCCAAATGACAAAATTAACCCCCCCCCCCAACCCCACCAGTATTCAAATTCCAGAGTATCAAGTATTTGTGCAAAATTTGGTCCAGTGAATGAAAATACATCCAGCATATCGGATATTTACATTACAATTCACAATCATAGCAAAATTACAGTTATGAAGTAGCAACGAAAATAATGTTATGGTTGGGGGTCACCACAACATGAGGAACTGTATAAAGGGGTCGCTGTATTAGGAAGGTTGAGAACCACTGGTTTAGAGCATTCTCTGAGAAAAGAAGTACCAGGCACTGATTTCATTAAAAGAGTCCTGTAATTCAGATCCAAAATGTGTTCCCTTTTGCACTTAAATTGAACTTACACTACTCTTTCATGCATTGTTGCTACAACTATCTTCTCCTCTATTACTAAGCTAGAGATATAAAGGAACCATAAAATATGAAAGGAATAACCCACCCATATGCTTCCAAAACCAAGAAAACAGTTTTCTTCTGATTTTTCTCTTCCATCCTTCATATCATATCTCAATACAATGTTACCTTCTACTACAAGTCAAATAAGGCCTGTCAGTGTCACATCTCACCCTTGAAATAGCAGCGTTTTGGACTTATACCAACCTTAACTGTTGCCAGAAAGAAGGAAAAGGGGAAGAATGGTAGGGGTGAAAGGGGGACAAAGAGAAAGGGGGAGAAGTTGGAGAAGAAGAAAGAAGAAAGGAAAAGGGGAGGAGGCCACCTATCCTAATTGAAACGTAGGGACGGATGGATGGGATTTTTAGTCCTTTCACCCATGTCCAGAGACTACTGCAAACTCCATCAGCCTTGGATTTGGACCAAACTTGGCACACAGATCCCACATGATTCACTTTACGTCCTGGTGCAGTTTGAGGGAGGATGGACTCCAGACGATGAGATTTGCAGTCCCTTCACCACATCCAGAACATGAAGGTCTCACTGGTTCACAACACTAAGAGTATAAAAAGCATTAGCAGGAATGGGATTTTTTTAGTCTTTCAGTTAATTCCTGTCCTAAATAAATCAGTAGTTGATACAACTACTCCTTGCTTGAAAAAGATGGTGATGGTGGTAGGGCTCTAGCCAAGTTTATGCTGTCTGCTCTCATGCTCTGTACTTTGACAGAAACTTAGCTGATTGATCATGAATGTGGAAACACTGAAGTGACATTCATTGCTGGGACCAAAAAGATGAGATAACTACTAAGATATGTCCTCTGCTACAGCCAGATATTTAAAAAATATGATGTAAGGAAACTATCAAGAGAGGTCTACTGAAAAATAAGATTGTTTACTTTGAGATTATTGTTTTGTTTTACAGCCAGAGGTGTGTTTGCAAGAATTTTGGCTCTTTGTTTACACTAATCTCACAGCTACAATCCCCAGCTTTTTATGTACCAAGACTCTGGTGTTACAAAGACTTTTAGAAACTCCTAATCCAATTGACAGTATTGATTAAGGAGAAATTCTTGACTACATTCAAGAGAGACTGGGACACATTTATTACTTTTCTACAGCAAATATGGGAACAATCTTCAATTATTTGTTTTCTGATATGGAAGGCGGTTATTAAAAGCAGAAGAGCAGAAATAAAGTGAAATCCAAACAGAGAAATAAATAAGAAATTAAAATTGACACGCAAGAGTGAGAGGCCTGTAGATTGGTTTAGTAGGTATTTACTTAGAATGTGTATAGATTGTACACTGTAGACAAAGCCGTATTAGTTACTTTTGTATTTAAAGAAAATGTTTTTTAGTTTTGTTTTCTATGGTAGTGGGTTTTTTCTTCATTTTTCTTTATATTCTTAATTTGGTTTTGTGCTGTTGTATTTTATAAATATGCTTTCTTTTTGCTTGTCTGTCTGAAGATACACACACACATGTATGTATGTGGAAAAATATCCAGATACCTATGCCTCCCACAGATTATGGATCTGGACCAAATTTGGCACACAGATCCCCCACGGTCAACAAAAAATACTGGAGGGGTTTGGGGAGAACTGACCCTGGAGGATTGGAGCTGCAGTTCACCCAAAATCAAAGCACACTCTGAACCCAACTGATGATGGATCTGGCACATGGGCCTAAACGTGTACTTTTATCATGTTGTTGAAGGCTTTCATGGCTGGAATCACTGGGTTGCTGTGCGTTTTCCAGGCTGTGTGGCTATGTTCCAGAAGCATTCTCTCTTGACATTTCACCCACATCCATGGCAGGCACCCTCAGATGTTGTGAGGTTTGTTGGAAACTACGCAAGTGATGTTTATATATCTGTGGAAGAATGTCCAGGGTGGGACAAAGAACTCTTGTCCATTTGAAGCAAGTGTGAAGGTTGCAATTGGTCACCTTTATTAGCATTGAATGGCCTGCAGCTTCAAAGCCTGGCTGCTTCCTGCCTGGGGATTCTTTGTTGGGAGATGTTAGTTGGCCCTGAGGGAGCCCCCAGTGGTGCAATGAGTTAAACACTTGTGCCACCAGGACTGATGATTGACAGGTCAGTGGTTTGAATCTGGGGAGAGCAGATTGAGCTCCCTCTGTCAGCTCCAGCTCCCTATTTGAGGACATGAGAGAAGCCTCCCACAAGGATGGTAAAACATCAAAACATCCAGCAACGTCCTTGCAGACAGCCAATTTTCTCACATCAAGTGCAGTTTCTCAAGTTGCTCCTGACAACAACAAAAAGCTGGCCCTGATTGTTTCTTGTCTGGAATTCCTGTCTGGAACAATCAGGGCCAGCTAACACCTTCCAACAATGGATTCCCCCCAAGCAGCAAGCAGCCAGGCTTTGAAGATGCAAAGCCATTCAATGCTAATCAAGATGGCCAGTTGCAATACTTACACTTGCCTCCAACAAAGAGTTCTTTCTCCCACCCTGGGCGTTATTCCACAGATATATAAATCCCCCTTGCCTAGTTTCCAACAGACCTCACAACCTCTGAGGATGCTTGCCATGGATGTGGGCGAAACGTCAGGAGAGAATGCTTCTGGAACATGGCCACACAGTCTGGAAAACTCACAGCAACCAACTGTCCCTCTGTCATTTCCTTCTTTTCCTTGAGTGTCCCGGGACTTCCTCCCTGCCTGTGCCAAGTGGGGCTGTTCCTCTGGCCCATTCAAACTCCAGCGCCCTCTTTTCTGGGGCGCCCTCTTGGCGTGGGGTCCCCCTGCCTTTCCCTGGCCCCTTCCTTGCCCTCCCGGGCCCCTCCTTCCCTGGCCCACCCACCTGAGGCAGTGGATGCCGCGGGGGTCGGGCCGGGAGCCCAGCGCCGCCCAGACCTGCTTGGCCACTCTCTTCAGCAAGGCGCCGCCGGCGGGAGACCAAGCCATGGCTGGGCAAGGCAAGGCAAGGCAAGGCAAGGCTCCGCGCAGCCTGGGGACACTCTCTCGCCGGTCTCCAAAGGGGCGGCGCTGCCCACTGCCCGGCCCGCCTCGCCGCCGCCCCGCCTGCCCGCCCTGCCTCTTCAGCCCAGCCAAGGAAGCCGGAGCGGGCGGCGGAGGAGGAGGAGGGGGCTGGTCCCTTGCGGCTTCCTTGGGGAGGCTCTCCCGCGCCTTCCGGAGGGGCGGGAGGCCGCCCGGTGCCTGCCTCATACTCCCTCCCGCTCCCTCCCTCTGCCTCTCGGCGCTGCCTCGTCACAAAGCCCCGGCCGAGTGGCGCGTCTGGGGGGGGGGGGGCTAAGGGGGCACCGTCAACGGAGTAGAGGACTGCTCCTTACACTAGAGAATGAATCCACTTGAAATCCGGTTGCTACCTCCTGCAAAATTCCGGGGTGTGTAGTTTAGGGAGGAGACTTTAAGGGCTTCATTAACTACAAACCCCAGAATTCTGCAGGAGGAAGAAACCGGATTTAAAGTAGATTCATTCTCTAGTGTGATGAGGGAGTGTGGTTCAAACTCAGACGCCTTTTCACTGACTGCCACATCCGCTTTATGCTTGCCTTCAAGGAGCCCATTGGGATTGTATGACTGTTTTAAGGAGCCCCGGTGGCACAGTGGGTTAAGCTACTGAGCTGCTGAGTTTGTTGACCGGAAAGTCTCAGGTTCGAATCCGGAGAGCGGCGTGAGCTTCCGCTGTCAGCCCCAGCTTCTGCCAAACCAGCAGTTGGTGCTTTGAATGCAATATTCCTGCTTCTTGGCAGGAGGTTGGACTGGATGGCCCATGAGGTCTCTTCCAACTCTATGATTCTATCAAAACATGAGTAGATCAATAGATACCGCTCCGTCGATAACGGTGCTAAGTTGTTGTAGGTTTTCGGGCTGTATGGCCATGTTCTAGAAAGCATTCTCTCCTGACGCTTTGCCTGCATCTATTGCAGGCATGCTCAGAGGTTATGAGGTGTGTTGGAACTAGGAAAATTGGGTTTATATATCTGTCGAAGGTCTAGGGTGGAAGAACTCTTGTCTTTTGGCGGTAAGTGTGAATGTTTCAATTGGCCACCCTGATTAGCATTTGATGACCTGACAGTTTTTAGGTGTGGCTTGTTAGTGCCTGGGGGAATCTTTCGTTGAGAGGTGATTAGCTGTCCCTGATTGTTTCTTGTCTGGAGGTCCCCTGTGTTTGAGTGTTGTTTTACTGTTATAATTTTAGAGTTTTTTAATACTGGTAGCCTGATTTTGTTCATTTTCATGGTTTCCTCCTTTCTGTTGAAATTGTCCACATGCTTGTGGGTTTCAATGGCTTCTCTGTGTAGTCTGATGGTTCTCCATCTGCCGGCCACATGACCTTGGAGGTGTCCACGGACAACGCCGGCTCTTTGGCTTAGAAATGGAGATGAGCAGCAACCCCTACAGTCGGACACGACTGGATTTAACATTGGGAAAAACCTTTATCTTTACCTATGACTGTTTTAACTATGTTGTCCTGGCCTTGAAAGCCTCACTGGTAATATAATTATTTGAGAACACAGAAATGTTGGATCCCTCTAACAACCACCACTACAAGGAGAAGCCATTGAAATCCATAAACATATGCACAATTTCAACAGAAAGGAGGAAATCATGGAAATGAACAAAATCTGCCTACTGCCAATATTAAAAAATACTCTAAAATCAGGACAGTAAATAAAGAGCAACTCTCAAAACACTTTCCTCTGAAGCTGAGAGAGTGTGATCTGCCCAAGGTCATCTGATTTAAAAGATTTATTCATCATCATATTGGCAGCAAGTATTGTTATTAAAGATAATTTATTTACAGTATTTCTATACCACTTTTCTCACCCCTAGGGTGATATAGTCTTTAGTGAAACTGCAAAGGATTTAATAAGGTGCAACTCTGACATTGTGAGAGGAGCGGCAGAAAGACTATCCAGGGAAAAGGATATGTCCAAAGGTGACAGTTTATTATGTATTTTATTATTTATTATATGTTCATTTATAAAAACACAATAATTATAACGTTTTGTACATTTGCATAATATATACTTTAAAATCCAACAAGCATATGCTATTTACATACTTTTGGAGGAGGAATCCTCAGAAAATCACTGTGATGAATTTGTTACATTCTTTGCAGAGAAAACTGCTTGGACTCATTCCAGCTTAGACTCCACAGTGATGGAAGAGTCTAGGAAAGTAACGAACACATATATTAGTCTGGTTTGGATGGATGAGTTTCAGGTTGCAGAACATCATGATGTGGACAAGTTACTTGGAGAGTTACTTGCTACAAGTTACTTGGAGTTACAAGTTACTTGGAGAGGTACAACCAGCCACTAATCTGTTAGACCTATGTCCTTTCTCTTAAAGGAGGACTGGCTTATTGGGTTGTGCATGCTGTAAGTCCTTCTTTGAAAGCCAAACATATTCCAACCTCTATAACAGAAGGAATTGTAAAAACTTTGTATAAATAACTCTAATGGGACTCCTCCTTCTAATGTCTAATCTTCTAAGTAATGTCCTAAAGAAGTGCCAGTAATACAAATCAAGTTTTCTCAGATCCATTCCAATCTGGATTCAGACACAGTTATGGAATAGGAACAGCCTTTGAGGATGCTTGCCATAGATGCAGGCGAAACGTCAGGAGAAAAATTGCCTCCAGAACATGGCCATATAGCCCGGAAAAACCTACAACAACCCAGCCTTTGTTGCCTTCGTAGACAAGGTGTTAGACTAGGAGAGTGAATCCTATTGGTCCTGCTGGATCTTTCAGTGACATTCAACCTCATTGGCCGTCGTATCCTTCTGGGTCATCTATCTGATATGGAATTTGAGGGAACGGTTTTGCAGTGGCTCTGGTCTATCTTGGCTGATTGTTCTCAGATGATATTATTAGAGGACTATTGTTCAGCTTTTTGGCCAATGGCTTGTGGAGGTTCACAGGGATTAAAACTGTTCTTATGGCTTTTCAATATCTACATGAAGTTGCTGAGAGAGGCCACCTGGAGCTCTGAGGCTGGATGTGATGAGTTTGCTGATGAAAACTATCTCTTTCTTATTTACTATTTATACAAGGTGGCAATTGCAGTACTGAACCATTACCTGGGATAATAAAAGGCAAGATGTAAGGGTTGCTGGTCAGTAGCAATATCAGTTTGGATTACAGCCTGTTCTGGGTGGGACTGCTCTCCATCTGAAAAATCAGGCTCCTAGGTTGGACCTAGTGCTGCTTCAAGGGTGCCATAGTGGCCAGGAACACCTCTGCCCATCTTCAGCTGGCATATCAGCTGTGCCCTTGCTTGGGGAGGGCAGATCTTAGTTCATGCCTTGGTTACCTTTCAATTAGACTACTATAATGTACTATAAAGTCCCAAGCACATGCCACAAGAGAGGAGGAGAATGGGCACAGTCAACCAGGCCTCTGACTGACTGAGAAAGAAAGTGAGAAACACACAGAGAAAAACCTCAACTCCCACCATGCCCCGGGAAGGGGCACAAAGCACCTTCAATGGTTGCACTGCATAAAGTGCTGCTGGGAAAGCGAGTTCCTATTTGCCTCAAGTGGATGCTGGGAGGGGTCTTCAGGAAGGAATGGAGGAAGCTACAGGGAAGAAAGAAAAGGATGAACTGCTTGCCTGATTTGAGAGGCTGCCTACACGGTGCCTCCACCTCAGATAGAGTGCCTCTCAGCTCCATTAGCCCCCATTATCCATATTGGCTAAGGCTTCGGCTGCTTCTCGTGAAGCCCATTTTCAGGGATTCAGCAGCCAGAACACCCAGATTCCCCAAATACGGTACACCAAACAATATCGTGCACACCCCTAATCTGTAACTGCCTAAAGAGTTTGTGAAAGGAAAGAACAAACCTCCTCAGTTATTAAGAAATGGTTAGTGAGGACTTAGGAGAACTTTCTCTGTGACCTCTTCCAGATTGTTGGCCCACTCCTTGCTCTCTTTCTGATGACAAAATTAAAATGATATATTATGTTCTGTGTATAAGATTTTTTTTATTTAGGCAGCCTTTTGAATTTTAATTGTGTAGCTGTATAAACTTATACTTTATTGAAACCATGTTCTAATATTTAAAGTGTATTACTGTCTTTTTTTAAAAAAAAATATTTTTATTGAGTTTTGTGTTTCAATACAGTCCAGGTGCTAGAAAGATTGGGGAGGGGGGGGGAAGGTAAGAGGGGAAGTGAGAGGGAAGGATTACTGTCTTTAGGCCTGTTTTAATAATAGTGATATTTAATTCCTTTTAAACTTTTGATAATTAATACCTTGGTGGCATCTTTTTAAAATAGTGAAAGCTGTCTTGAATCTCATTTTGGGAAGAAAGTGAGATATTAATTAATTAATTAATTAATTAATTAAAATAAAGGTGGATTAGACTTGAAGAAGCAGGCATGAAAATTAGAAATTGGAAAAGTAGTACCCGTAACTTAAGATACGAAAATGGCATGATAGTACAAATAGAAAAGAGCAACAAATTGAACATTTAATGCAGAAAGTCAAATAAGGAAGTATAAAGGTAGGTTTAAAAATCAACATTAAGAAAACAAAAATAATGGCCACAGATGATTTCCATAACTTTAAAATAGATGGTGAATATATTGAAATAGTTTAGAATTTCATATAACTTGGCTCAGTTATTAATCAGAATGGGAACTGCATTCAAGAAATCGCAATAAGGCTAGAATTTAGAAGTGCAGCTATGGAGGAACTATACAGGATTCTGAAGTGAATATATATGAACATATTGTTCAATTATATGGTTGTCCACACTACTGCATTTCCAATTCTGTGTGTGGTATGAAAGCTGGACAGCAAAGAAAACTGTCTTTTGAAATGTGATGTTAGGGAAGAGTTCTATATATACTGTGGATTGCCAGAAAAGGCAGATAAACGAATCTACAACACACCAAGCACAAACTCTCCCTAGAGGCCAAAACAGCTACACTGAGATTGTTGTACTTTGGCCATATCATGAGACGGTATTACTCACTAGAAAAGTCAATAATGCTTGGTAAAGTTGGAAGCAATGGGAGAAGAAGGGGAAGACTGGACTGGAGATCAAGAGACTCAAGGGAGCAAGACCCTGAAAGTGCAATATCTGAGCAGGCCATTTGAGGGATTGGGTGACTGAGAGGCCTCTCATTCATAGTATAAGCACAAGTCAAAGTTGATTTGATGGCAGTC